GCACGCACGCACATGCGCCTGGCGTGAGTTTTAAGCCACCGGGTCCGGGACTCGAACTGCGGTCGACTACGTGGGAGTCCAGCGACATAGCCATTACGCTAACTGCTGGTCCCCTCCCTCCACTTTTTAATAGATCACCTTCTATAAGAACTTTGTTCTCAAAGGCCGAGTAGTTACCTTTTGGGGAGGCTGAGCAGTAATGGCTTGTTTTCAAGACTGGCCTTGCTGAGCCAAGGAACCTTGTCAAATTTTGGAACAGAAGCCTGGAGAAAGATAAAGAGATCATTTTGCAGAATTTACTGCACTTGGTCAAGTGCTGTCATTACAATGACCAGTGTAAGCTAATTGCAGCCACATAGTGGTCAGCACTTCACAAAATATCTCGGTGTTTTGTATTTGACTCTTTAAAAAAAAAAAAAATAAGTGTTGCCAGAGGGTTCATGTACTTGCCAGGGATGGAGAGAGTACACAGCCCCCTGCAGGATGTGGCCAGGCCGGATGGAGAGAGTACACAGCCCCCTGCAGGATTGGCCAGGCCCAATTCTTTTTCTTCCATTCCTCCATCCCATCAGGATTTGGGGCATGCACACATGGCTGTATTTCATACTGCTGAGGTGGCTGACCATGTGGTATCGGGCTCCCAGTGTACAGCACTTAGCCACTGCCCTACGGCGTCAATGCGGTGTACTCGATTCTTTTAACCGTCTTATAAAGTAGCCAAGAGCAAGGAATGTCCTCTGCATTTTACAGATGAAGAAGTCAGAGCTCACGCGGTGATTAGCCTGGAGTCACACAGCTGGTAAATGGGTTCACTTCCAACTTCTGTGCCTACTGTACACTATTTCTTTCTAAAGCTTTAACATATTTTAATTTCAGGGATCAAAAGATGGTGTAATGGTTATGGCGCTGGATCCCACATAGTCAACAGTGATTCAAGTCTTGGACCTGATGGCTTAAAACTCACGACAGGTACATGTGCCTGAGTGGAGAATAGAGAAGGGATTGCTGCATGGTCATCCCCCCTGGGTGATATCTTGCTTTCTGTCTCTGTCTCTGGCGAGCACATGCACCCTATAGCAAAAATCTCTCTCTAAAAATGTATCTGTATCTATAGACATTAGTTTTATTCATGTTAAAGAGCCCACATGTGCACTAAGAAGAAACCTTCCACAGGGTTACTTCATGAAGGTCCCCTTTCTCCAGCCCTCCATCTGGTTAAGAATCCTGGGCACAGCTGCTCTGGCTCAGGCCCCCAGGGCACCATTGCCATGTGGCTTCCAGCACTGCTGTTGAGGTTATTTCCAGGGGCTCAGCGCCTATCAGCAATCTCCTGTCCCAAGCCTCTGGCTGCTTTCAGACTCAGGGCCCTCACTGGCACCCTACCTAGAAGACTCACAGGAAAGAGCAGACCTCTAGGCTATAGGCCCTGGGCATTGCCCTCAGCGTTGGCACTTCCCAAGTACCTGGTTTTGGACAATTACGTCCCCCAGACGCACACTGGCCCTCTGTGAGAGGGGAGGTGATGTCATCACTGTAAAAGTCAATGGATCCTTGAAAGCAAAGGTCCCCCTGCCAGTAGAGCTTTCTGGTGAGCTCCAGAACAGCACTTGATGCCTGCAGGTACCGGTGTACACCGGCCACGGAAACAACAGCAAAGCGACACGAGTGGCTGTTGTGATCTCCCTCCTCCACCCTTGGCCTTCTCGCCTTGCTGGAACCCTCTGATCTCAAATCCAGGTCTCTGAAGGGATGGGATAGTCTTTCTCAGGCGTCTCCGGAACCTGGCGGTTCACTAAGGGACCAGCAGGGGGCAGCAAAAGACCCTGCGGAACCCGGTCGCCGAAGGGCGCTCTAGCCGCGGAAATGATGGACCGGAAATGCTCGATGGCGTCTCAGCCCCGCGCTCCGCCGGGAGCCTGCGCAGCCTGGGACGTGCGGGCCGTGCGTTCCGTGCGGGTGCCAGCGTTTCTGGGCCGGGACTGGGAGATCCAGGCGGGGTCTCCGCGGCGAGGAGGGCTTCTCCGGATGTCCGGCTAGAGCAGGAAAGCCTGTCTCGAGTCCAGTGGAAGAAAACAAGGTCGCAGATTAAGAGCGTCTGTCTCACATTTGATCACCTGGGTAGCGTCTTCTTCCTTCGCAAGCTTTTCTCCCACTTAAGCGAGGTGGTAGCTCCTTAAAGAATGTTAAGCTCCGTTAGTGGGTGAAGAGTCTTAGTTCCTTTGCATTCTTGGTTTTGGTTAAACCATGGAGCTCATACTTTGCTGGATTGTGCAGTATACTGTTGTTGTCTTTAGATCGGTAACGTTAACAGTAAAGCCTTTGAGAAACCAGTAAAAACTGGATTATAACCCTGTAAATTTGTATAAATTGCAGATTGAGGCATGCAGTGTCAATACCTAGGGGTATGTGAACCCCAGATTTAAGAATTGGTTTTGAGAGAGAGAGAGGATGTAAAGGAAGGCTTCAGGATCGGACTTGTGTTCGAATCCTGGCCCCACGATTTACTACTGTTTCTTTGGGCCAAGGTTCCCTAAGCATTTTTTTTAAAACAAAAATTATTTTATTTAACTTTACTTATTTACTTATTTTGACCAGAGAGGGACAGAGTGTGAAAGAGAGAGAGAGAGAGAGAAAGTGAGGAAGCAAGCCACCAGGTCCGGGACTCAAACCATAATTGGCCGTGTGGGAAGTCCAGTGCCCTTAACCACCACACCACCTGCGAGCCCCTCCCTAAGCATTTTGAGTCTCCACTTTTTTCCCAGTTAAAGTGGAAAGAATACTAACTTGTCAGGTTGTGAAGAATAAAGAAAAGATACATAAGGCGGTTAGCATATACTGGGCACTCAATGTGATAGCTAACAGGTATCTGTCTTTATTCAAGGGATTATAATTTGAAAGTCTGAAATGCTGTTTTGTTTTCTTTCTAAGAGAGATATTTTGCCATAGGGCATGTGTGCTCACTGAAAAGACAGAAAGCAAGAGGTCACCTCCTCCCCTCCAGGGGAGGATGGCCACCACAATCTCTTCTCCATTCTCTTCTAAAAATTTTGGACATGCATGTATACATGCCAGGCATGAGTTTCTTTCTTTCTTTTTTTTTTTTTTTTGAGAGGTTTTTGCTATAGGGCGCGTGTGCTCGCCAGACAGACAGAGACAGACAGAAAGCGACAAATCACCCCCCAGGGGGGATAGCCACACCACAATCTCTTCTCCTCCATTCTCCTCTCAGGTTCTTGGGCAGGCACTACATGTTTCCCAGCGTGAGTTTTAAGCCACTGGGTCCAGGACACGAACCGCAGTCGGCTACGTGGGAGTCCAGCGATATAGCCATTACACTAACTGTTGGTCCTGGCCAGGCATCAGTTTCAAGCCTCCGAGTCCAGGACTTGAACTATTGTCAGCCATGTGGGAGTCCAACAACCTAATCACCATGCCATTTACTGGTCCCCTGAAATGCTGTTTTCCAAATTATAAGATGACCACCACGTTTTGCTCAGACTTTCAGTAAATTTAGTTGGTTTGATTTTAACTCAGTCCTACCTTTCATCTTTCACAACCTTCATAGGTTTGTCACCTTTTTCTAGGAACGTACCTGCCTCAGAGAACAAACTCATCAGCTTACTGCAGGCCTAGCCTGGGATGCTAACTTTGAAAACAAGGAGAGGTCTGTCGAATATCAACCACAATACAGCATGGGGTTGCCATGGAGATCTTATTTCAAAACTTCATAAAGAACCAGACCCTCACGGACTTTTGTAAGTAAGCCCAGACTGGCCTGCACTTAAAGGAAAGGATCATGTGTGCACCACCTGTACCTACCACTCAGGAGACCAAGTGGCAGAAGGTCTTATACAAGCGACAGCCCTTCCCTGATAACTATGTGGACCACCGGTTCCTGGAAGAGCTACGGAAAAACATCTATGCCCGGAAATACCAATATTGGGCTGTGGTTTTTGAATCCAGTGTGGTGGTCCAGCAGCTGTGCAGTGTGTGTGTTTTTGTGGTTATCTGGTGGTATATGGATGAGGGCCTTTTGGCCCCCCACTGGCTTTTGGGAACCGGCCTGGCTTCTTCACTGATTGGGTATGCTTTGTTTGATCTCATTGATGGAGGCAAAGGGCGGAAGAAGAGTGGGCGGACCCGATGGGCTGACCTGAAGAGCGCTCTGGTCTTCATCACTTTTACTTATGGTTTTTCGCCAGTGCTGAAAACCCTCACAGAATCTGTCAGCACTGACACCATCTACGCCATGTCTGTCTTCATGCTTTTGGGCCATCTCATCTTCTTCGACTATGGTGCCAATGCTGCCATCGTGTCCAGTACACTGTCCTTGAACATGGCCATATTTGCTTCTGTCTGCCTGGCTTCACGCCTGCCCCGCTCCTTGCATGCCTTTGTCATGGTGACATTTGCCATCCAGATTTTTGCCCTGTGGCCCATGTTGCAGAAGAAATTGAAGGCATGTACTCCCCGCAGCTATGTGGGAGTCACGCTGCTTTTTGCATTTTCAGCTTTGGGGGGCCTGCTGTCCATTAGTGCTGTGGGAGCCATACTTTTTGCCCTTTTGCTGATTTCAATCACTTTTCTTTGCCCTTTCTACCTCATTCGCCTGCAGCTTTTTAAAGAAAATATTCATGGACCTTGGGATGAAGCGGAAATCAAAGAAGACCTGTCTAGGTTCCTCAGCTAAGTTAGGGACCTCCATTATGTTATTGAGGCACTCTGATAGGCTAGCCTCCTAACTCATATAAAATTGGAAGGCAGAGTTCTAGCCTGGAAGCAGCATGCTGAAATAAGTGAGAGGAGAGAGGTCAAAAAAGATAATAAGCAAAGGCTTGAATGATAAAGGTGCTATCCTCTCTGTTACTTTGTGGATGAAAAGCAAAACTTTCTGGGGCTCTCTTGAATTAATTGCCTCCTGTCTATTACTCCCTGTAACAAGTGAAGTAATGTGGTTCCTGTTTATTAAAACAAGTCAACACATCCAAGTTGTTCTATGATTTTTCTGTAAGCAGAAAACAGACAAGAGTGTGAAGAGAGAATAAGTGTGTGTGTACACGTGTCTTTGTGTGTACAAAGTCACTCCTGCCTCTTTCAGTGTACTAATGCAAGCTTTTATTTGCACCTCAAATCCTCAAACTCAGATTGCTGTGTCAAACATTTAATCGTAGGCTCAGTTTCTGCTTAGTTCTTGGTAGAGCCAGATACACAACTAATTACAAGGGAGAGGTTGATGTGTTACAATACATAGGAAAAGACGGGAATTCAAGAGGCTGGAGATGAAGTGCAGCTGGAATAGCATTTGCACCTAGTTTTGGAGGATAGGTGGGATTTAAGTATGAAAACATGGCATTAGGGACCAGCTCCTTGGTGGTAATGCAGTGCTCTAGAGAAGCCAGATTGCACAAGGCAAATGTAATTTTCTCCTTAAGATTTTTCTTAAACTATTTTTAAAAAGAATTATTTAACTTTATTTTTATTTTTAATTTGACCAGAGAGGGACAGAGTGAGAGAGAAAGATAGAGGGAAAGTGAGAAAGCAGGCCACCAGGTCCAGGACTCAGACCACAGTTGGCCATGTAGGAATCCAGTGCCCTTAGCCACCACACCACCTGCTGGCCCCAAACTTCATTTATTTTATTTGTGTATTTATATTAATTTGACCAGAGAGGGACAGTGAGAGAGAGAGAAACTGAGAAAGCAAGCATCCAGATCTGGGACTCGAACCACAGATGGCCATGTGGGCAAGTCCAGTGCCCTTAATCACCATGTCACCTGCTGGCCCCAGGCAAGTGTAATTTGAATCCCTGGTCTGGACAGCCTGAAACACTCCAGGCATGCATGTGATTGCTCAGGCTCTGACAAGCCAGAGGACTGGAAGAAGGGAATTGCTGTGAGATCTAAGTGGTCTCTCTAATGGTAATGAGAAATGGAGAGAGGGACCATGTCCAATGAGGGCAGCTGCTACTCCAACTGATTGTTTCTATTTAGAGTCTGGGACTAGTTTTAGACCTTTAGAATTCCAGATAAAAATATTTTATATTAATTTTTAATTGAACTTAATTAACTAGAGAGGGACAGTGAGAGAGAGAAAGTGAAAGCAAGCTGCCAGGTCCAGGACTTGAACTGCAGTTGGCCATGTAGGAGCCCAGTGCCTTTAACTACCATGCCACCTGCTAGCCCTCTAGAATTTCAGATAAAATTCTAAATGAAATCCCTGTAATGGCTGTACATAAAGGTGGGAAAGTTGGATGGACGTTTAGGAATATGGAGGCTTGGGGGAGGGGGCTGTTGGGAAAACATCAGAATGGAAGATTTAAGTAGCAATACTGGGGTCAAGGAATGTCCAGTTATTTGGGTTCTGTACTGCAGGTAATGGGGAGCATCCAGCTTGCCTAAGGAGTGAGCAAATGATCAAGCCTTGGGCTGGTTACTTCACTGCTCTCAGTTTTCGCCTAAAGCGGGAATAAAAATATCCGCTTCAAAATCGTAATTTGATGAGACACATGCAAAGTGCTTTGAACGACTGACACGAAGGAGTTTTAGTGTTGGCTGTTGCTGTTACTCAGTTGACGAGTAGGAAAACATGAAGAGGGCAGAGACTGGTGCAAAATGCATCAGGTGCCTCCTGTGACCGCTTGGGGCAAGCTTCTGCACTGTCCTCTTTTCATTAGAAATTAATAGCCAATGAGAAATTTCATCAGGGGACTGGTATTCTTAAGTAGTGTTTTTATTTCTCTGAATATGGATTTCTCAAAAAGGGCTTGAACAGCTTTGCACAGTGGCAGTATCGTAGCCAATGAGGTTTATCCGAGGCGCGATTATTGCTAGTTGAAAAAGGGCTTGAACAGAATTTTGAACTAGTGTCTTTAGCTCCATTTGAGCACTGGTATTTGTTTCATGGTAAAAATGGGTGTGTGTGTACATGTGTGGCTGATGAGCTTTATTCCTAAAAGACCAACAGCATCTTGTTTGCCCTCAATTTCTCCTGTCCATGTTGTGGCCTCTTAAGGTAACAATCTTTTCCTCCTTGAACCAGTTGGTGGTTGTTTAAATAGATTGATTTGGGAGCTCTGGGCACATGTGTTCCCAGCCCAGGTGAACTCTTACAAGTCCAGGCTTGCTTTGAGGTGTGATGGTGTCAGGGCAGTTAAGAGAGATGGCGTATGAAGTGTCACAGAATGATTGTGGGCTTCAAGCTGGGAGTGCCTCAGGTCACCATCCACCTGACTTTCCCACATGCCAGTTGGCCCTGTAATAACTCCTGGGCAGCACTTATTTGGAGCTGTCTTGTTTGTGCTTTGGTCTCACTGAACCTACTCTCAGTGGTTTTCCCCTGAGGTCAGCCGGACTGCGTTCACAGACCCAAAGACACTGGTTGATGGGGCGAGAAGGGTCTCAGAGCCCAAGGCAGTCTGCAGCTTGCATTGGGTTTGGCTTTCTGAAGCCTGGAGAGTGGCTAGAGCGGGCTTCCATTGCTCTATAGGAATAGGGTGAGATGTTAGTTGTTGAAGGTAGTAAGGAACTGTATAAAATTGTGAGTTTTAATGTTTATGCTTTAAATACATTGACCTCTTTTGAGTGGGTTTCCTACTGTCAGCTGCGGAGAACTCACACAGCAGATTGCATCCATACTCGAGAGTGGAAAGTTCTTCCAGTCTGAACCACTTTAAAGAGTATTTCCTCAGTGGGATGAATGAATGTGTCTGTGCTGTCCTTTTCAAATGTTCCCCAAAGTGCCACCCAAGGCCTGATCCTATTCAGTGTGGTGGCTGGAGAGGTTGTGTGTAGCAGTGGGGTGGGAAGTTGGGGTGGATGTGGTAGTGGCAATGGGCCAGCAGAATTATTTGACATAAAGTGGTAGTTGTGAGAAGAATAAATAGAGCATGCCAAGGTGCACAGGACCTGATGCCTCCTGTAGGGGAGGGAAGCACAGGGTAAGAGGGCTATAGAGAGAGGGACTGAAGTCTGATAGTGTTGAGGATTTTGCATTATTGAATCCTACAGTCAATGGCATATTGAACTTCTGCAAAGAGATTACAGTCAATGGCATATTGAACTTCTGCAAAGGGAAATGATAAGGTTTCGTGTGTGTGTGTATACACACACACGCAGTCTTCAGAAAGTTTATGGAAAATACATATCATGAAGCAATTACATAGATTTGAATATTTTTGCAAAACAAATTCATATTTTAATTTCACTTTCCACAAACATTTGAGGTACTCTTGAATGTGTCATATGAGTAAAGTATATATAAAGCATGTCTACATCATTCATATATGTTGGTGTGTGCACCCATGAATGGTAATTCTGGCAGTAGTTTGAGGCATGGACATGGAGAGCTCATGTCACGTTATGGTGGAAAGTGCATGTGTGGACCGCGGGTAATGACTGTGGGCGTGCATATGAGCAGCCTGAGCAGAGGACTTTTCAGAGTGTTTGGCGACTTCATGGAGGGAAAGA